GCTAACATCTGCCAATTCTCCTCTTTTTTTGCTGAGGAAGACTGGCCCTGGGCTAACATCCATGCCCATCTTCCTCCACTTTATATGGGACGCCGCCACAGCATGGCCTGCCAAGTAGTGCGTCGGTGCGCACCCAGGATCTGAACCGGAGAACCCTGGGCTGCCGCAGCAGAGAGAGGGCACTCAACCACTTGCGCCACCGGGGCAGCCCCCTAGATTTTGCTTTTTATAAAGATTCAAGAAAAAAATAACATAATAAAGAAGTAGAGATTTGAAACAAACCTGACTGAGGATCCTTCCTGATTTCTCTCCCATCTTTTCTGCAAGTTCAAAAATCTGAAAATTCCAGTTGCTCATCTTTTCTATTAATGAATCATAATCTTCTATTAAAATCGGGTCCAGTGATGCTTCCTGTTCAATCTGTACATATAGGGGGAAAAAAACAAACTTAACCGTACCTTTTATAAATATTGTGAAGTCCACAACCAAATGAGAACACTTAAAATTGAACATTAAAAAATGCTCAGTACTATTTTCTTTAACAGTTATTCTCAAATATAATCTGTACTTCCTATTCTTTTTGTATAATGCTATCTTCAGACAAATATAAACATGTCTTCTAGCTATCAGAAGACTTATTAATCTTTACATAACCTTTATAAATAAAAATATATTTCCAAAACACTACACAAATCTAAAATCCATTCTTTTCATTTTAGAAGTTACAGGTATCAAATAATAATAGAAAGAAACTCATATCTTTATATTGGCATTCATTACTAGGATAACTTCCCAAAAGAAATGGATGGGTATTTTCCCTAAAAAGCTTAAATTTTGAACCTTGAGAACAAAAAAATATTGCTATTTTAAGTAAGTATATTATTTTCATTGTTTTTTAATGACTATCTACATGTTCCTCATACTTTAACATATACAATGAAGAAAATATCAGCATAGAAAGTAATATATCTACTATAAAACTAAATAAAATGTGTTTATTTAAAAATGAATGCACTTGGTTGTTCTAGTATGATGAGTTTAGAAGTAATTATTACTTTTAAGCCAAAGTTTTCTTTAATGCGTTATAGTGACTTTTCAGTAAAAAAGTTTAAAATATCATTATATTAAAAACCTTGTTCTGGGCAAAAACAATGAAACTAGTACTAACTAATATTATATTTCACCTTAACATAATCATATTGAAAGTTTATCTTTTACATTTGGTTGCTGTTCACTCTCTGCTTCTTCTGTTAGGTGGTTATCACCTTCCAAACATAATTTTCTGCAGTCTCTGTTCTCTGTTTCCACTTCTTGTTGAGCTTCTATAAGGTTGAATGATTCTTTTGAGAAAATGGTGTTGTCTTCATCACCTTTCAAAAAACATATATAAATAAATAAATAAGAATAAAACTTGCCCTATATGGACAGTTTTATAAGAAAAATTGTTTGTAAAAAAATATTCAGATAAAGTGAACCATACTGGCATTCAATCTAAATTAATGACACCATTAAGTCATATGTTGCTGGACTATTTGGCCCAGGTACTTTGTGCTCTGGCAACATTTCACTTGATTTATCTGAAAGATATGGGTGGATATTCATTATAAAAGTGAGAAACAGGAAAAGCTCCTATCAATAGCAATTTTTTTACCAATTTGCTGTAAACAATTTCCAACATCTGAAATTGTTGGAGTTTTAGACATGAAAACTCCAAATTAATAATTATGAATGAGATTAAGGCACATCTACAGGTTAAAACACAGTATCATGAATTGGGAGTTATTTCTCTACCAATGTGATTAATGATATTCTTTTTCCCAAATCACATGGAAAAGGGAAGCAGCACTGGTAGCTAAACAGCATTCATTCACATGTAAAAAAAAATTTATATTCATTCTATTTGTAACATCTTAAACAGGAAACTTTCCCAAAACCATCAACAGTAGAATAAATAAACTGTAGTGTACTCACACAATTCAACACTAAAGAGCAAAGAGAATGAACTATACTCACATGCAACAATATGGATGATTCTTAAAAATATAATGTTGAGTGAAGGAAGCCAGACACAAAGGCACACAGTCTGTGATTCTCTTTATGAAAAGTTCAAGAATGTATCAAAACTGATACATATGAGTATTGAGAGACAGGACGAAATGAAATTTAGAATATTCAACTATTCTTGACAAGCTAAGGCAGTAATTACAATAGCCGTCAATCTAAAAATTGCTGACATTTGAGGTACATTACCTGATTTACCTTTTTTTTTGAGGAAGATCAGCCCTGAGCTAACATCTGATGCCAATCCTCCTCTTTCTGCTGAGGAAGATTGGCCCTGGGTTAACATCCGTGCCCATCTTCCTCTACTTTATATGTGGGACACCACCACAGCATCACTTGGCAAGCGGTGCGTCGGTGCACGCCTGGGATCTGAACCTGCGAACCCTGGGCTGCTGAAGCAGAGTGCACACACTTAACTGCTGTGCCAACGAGCTGGCCCCCATGATTTACTTTTTAACAATCTAAATTCCTAATAAATATAACTTACAAATAATAAAAACAATTGAAATAATTGTAGCAATTTCTTATCTTAAAGACGTCCACAACACTATCTCTTATCCCACATGAACTCTTTTAAAATGTATTCTTGTCACTCCTCCATCAAGAGAGTATTTATTTCCCAGCCCCTTAGAATCTGGACAGGCTGCATGACTGCTCTGATTAACAGAATATGGCAGAAGTGCCACTTTGTTCTGGGTTGAGCCATTAACTGGACTGGGAGCTTCCACTTCCTCCTCTCTTGGAATCCAGCCAACATGTTGAAAAACTCTCATAGGTCATATATAGACGGACTGGTCAATAGCCAACAGATACATGAGTAATCCGTCTTGGAAATTCAGCCCAATCAATTCTTCGGATGACTGTCACCCTTGCCAATATCCGACTGCAATCACATGAGAGCCCTCAAGTGAGAATCTCCAGTTGAGACCAATCAATCCAAAGAACTGTGAGCATTAATAAATTATTACCATTTTTTAAAAGCTTTATTGAGTATAATTACATACCATAAAATCCACCCATTTTAAGTATATAATTCAACAGTTTTAGTAAATTGACAGAGTTGTACAACCATTATGACAATCCAGTTTTAGAACATTCTCATCACCTCAAAAAGTACCCTCATGCCTATTTACAGTTAATCCTTATTTTTACCCCAGGCAATCACTGTTCTAATTATTGTCTCTATAAATTTGCCTTTTCTAGAATTTCATATAAATGGAATCATACAATATGTAATTTTTTGACCCTGGCTTCTTTCACGTAAGTTTTGAAGTTTATCCACGTAGTAGCATGTATCAGAAGTTCATTCCTTTAATTGCTAAATAGAATTCCATTGTATGGATATACCACATGATATTTATCCATTCACAAGCCGATGAACATCTGGATCATTCCAGTTTTGCACTATCATGAATAATGATGTCATAAAAGCATTCACAAACCTGTCTTTGAGTGCTCATATGTTTTCTCCTGGGTAAATTCTTAGCCGTGGCATTGCTGAGTCATATGGTAAATTTACGTGTAACTTTTTAAGAAACTGTCAAAACTTTTCCAAAGTGGCTGTACCATTTTACATTCCCATCAGCAATGCATAAGGGTTCCAATTTCTCTACATCTTGGCCAACACTTGGCATTGTCTGTCTTTTTGATTATAGCTATTCTAGTTTGAGTGTAGTGGTGTCTCATGGCAATATTAATTTTCACTTCCTTAATGACTAATGAGTTCATCATCTTTTCGTGTGTTTATTACCTATTCGTTTATATCCTTCACCAAATGACTTTCACCAAAATATCTAAAATCTTTCGTCTATTTTTTAATCGAGCTGTTTGACTTCTTAATATTGAGTTGTAAAAGTTCTTTATGTATCATGGATATAAGACCTTTATCAGATGTATAATTTGTGGATATTTTTCCCAATCTGTGGTTTGTCTTTTCATTTTCTCATTGGTGTCTTTGGAAGTGCAAAAGTTTTTAATTTTGCTAAAGCCCAATTTGTCATTTTGTTTCTTTCATGGATTGTGCTTTTGGTATTGTATCAAAGAATACTTTACTCAGCCCAAGGTCACAAAGACTGTCCAATATTTTCTTCTACAAGTTTCACAGTTTTAACTCTTACACTTAGGTCTATGATCTATTTTGAGTTACTTTTTGTGTATATGCTGAGGAATTTATTTTTGGACTCGCAGTTCTGTCCCATTGATCTATAGGCTCATCTTTGTTCCAATACCACACTGTCTTAATTACAGTGGCTTTATAGTAAGTTTTGAAATCAGATAGTATTAGTCCTCCAAATTTGTTCTTTTTACAAATTGTTTTGGCTATTGTAGATCATTTGTATTTCCACATAAATTTTAAGACCAACGTGTCAATTTCTACCAAAAAAAGCTGCTGGAATTTGGTAAGTATTACATTGAATTTATAGATCAATTTGGGAGAATAGCCCTGTTAACAATACCGAGTTTTCTAATCTATTACTATGAAACGCCTCAATTTATTTAGATTTTCTCTAATTTTTCTCAACAATGTTTTCTAGTTTTCAGTTAACAAATATCCCACTTCTTTTGTTAACTTTAACTATTCTTTTGACTCTATTGTGAATGGAAATGTTTTCTTAATTTCAATTTACAGTGGTTCATTGCCAGTATATAGAAATATAATTGATTTTGTACATTGATCTTGTATCTTGTGACTTTGCTCAACTTGTTTATTGGTCCTAATAATTTTGTGTATGTGTATATTCTTTGGGATTTTCTACATAAAGGATCATAACATCTGCAAATAGGAACAGTTTTATTTCTTTAGTTCCATTCAGAATACCTTTATTTCTTTTTCTTTCTAATTTTCCTGGCTAGAACCTCCAGTACAATGTTGAATAGAAGTGCTGAGAGCAAAACTCCTTATCTTATTCTTGATCTTAGGGGGAAAGCATCAGTCTTTCTCCATTAAAGACGATGTTAACTGTGTGTTTTTGAAAGATGCCCTTCACTAGGTTGAGGAACTTTGCTGCTATTACTAGTTTGAGTGTTTTTATCTTGAAAGAGTGTTGGATTTTGTCAAATGCTTGTTCTGCATCTATTTAGATTATCATGTGTTTTTTTCACCTTTATCCTATTAATGTGGTGTATTACACTGATTGATTTTCAAATGTTAAACTACCCTTGCATTCCTGGGATAAATACCACTTGGTTACGGTGTACCATTTTATATGTTGCTGGATTCAGTTTGCTAGTATTTTGTTAAAAATTGTTGTGTCTATACACATAAGGGATATTGGTCTACAGTTTTCTTGTGATGCCTTTGTGTGGTTATGGTATCAGGGTAATACTGGTCTTATAGAATGAGTTGGGAAGTTTTCCCTCCTCTTCTATTTTTTGGAAGAGTTTGTGAAGGATTGGTCTTTTTTGTTTTGTTTTGTTTTGTTTTAACAATGCTTTAAAATATAAAAACCAAAAACCTTTGAATTGTACACTTTAAAAGAGTGAATTTTACAGTATATGAAGGGATTGACATGAGCCTATAATCCCTGAAAGGGCCTGTCTATTTCTGGTTTACCTTTATTCCTAGGGTGCAATGCTGCAGAGTTTACCAAGTTATCCCTATCATGGCAAGCCTTCAATTCCAATCTCTGTCTCCCTAGTCCCATGAAGCTACCAAAAGGACTGCTCTTTCTATCAGTCACTGGCCCCTCTGGAAGCAGCAAACATCTTTTTGATAGCCTTAAACTCAAGGCTCACTTTCTTGGACTTCTATCCTCCTCCAGATCTTGTACTGATAATTCTGAGGAGCTTGTTAGTTCTTCAATGGCTTCAAGTAGATTTTTTTTGTTGTTAATAATTTGTCCAGCTTTTCTAGCTACCTTTAGGGGGAATGATGATCTGAGTTACCTAGTTAACTATTAATGGACACTTGAATCATCAATTTTTGAAAGTCATAAAACAACTATAATTTTATTCCAACAATATATTTTGTTTGAGGATATAAAATGTTTCAGAATGATATAATTAAATAAATTTTAAAACAACTTCTCTCTATGCCATAAAAACCTATTCAAACCTTTTTGGGCTTAGATTGTGCAGTATAAAATTTCAACATTAATATAATTAATTTCACTATTATGAACTCTATCCATAACCTAAGAAGACTGTATTCATTTATATAGTACATTTTTAATCTTCAAAATACTTTCACCATCTATTTTTTAAAATTTGTTCCAAATAACTCCTCTGTGAAGTAGACAAAAACAGCATAATCTTCATTTCAAAGATGGATAAACTGAAGTTAAACTCATTCATTTACTCATTTTAAGAAACGACGTAAGAAATTGCTTTTAAATTCAAACACATATGACTTTGGCAGTCTCACCTGATTTTCCACTCTGGCAGTCTATACCAGACTCTGATTCAGATGTTGAAACATAGTTCAGTATTTGATGTCCACAGCTTATAAAATAAAATAGATAAATATATATATATATGATAAATGAGGCACAAATTTTTTTTACCTAAATACAATTAGAAAATCTGTTTAATTTTTAACCAAAGATCTCAACTGCAAAACATCCTAATATTCCAATCTCTCTATAACTTTATAGGCTTTATACTAGAAAGCATCTCTCTGTTCCTGGAGGAAATAACATATTTTGAAAGTCAACAATGAGGTCTGAGGTAAACACTTATTACCATCGAAGCAGAAATGAGAAGAGACACCATATAAACTAGGTACTATAAACAGGCCTTAAGCAGTATAGACTAAAATAATTCTCATACATTTACTGATATCTTATGATGGATACAATACCACTATATTTCACTTCAGATGGAGATCATTTAATTGGAAAAGGAATAATAGCACTAAAGTGAGAAAAAGTCTATTTAGAATAAAAATTAATAAAAAAATAAAGAGGATATAGTCTTAATCCATCATCTCGTTATAATATAGAACTAGAAAACTGGTAATACTTTATTAAAATAACCTATATTTTGAAACAGAAATAATAAACATTTGGGAAATTTACCTGTTACATAAATTGTTGTCAGAATTTCTAAGTTGTTGATAAAAATCTGGTGAATTGGGTACGTTGCCCAGAGATCTGTGTAAAATAACACTTGGCTTAGTAAGAAAATCAGCAGTATCAGGAAATTCTATAGGTGATCGATTAGTTAGAGAGCCAGCCGACAATGGTCCATGACTGAGAGAATTCACAGGACTCAGGCTGGGTAAAGCACCTTTAAAAATTAAAAGAGAGAAAAGAAATAAATAATTAACTATGTATGTATGTGTATGTGTTTATTCTGTTTATGTATTTATAAAGAGCATTTTCCTTCCTTAAAGAAAACAAAGTATTTACAAGTAAATGATAAAATAAATTTCTAGGTGGAGCTATTGTCAAGACATCCTAGGAATTTAAGCAGAATACAGACCATATTTGTCATCATTGTGGACTAAACACCCTATGGCAGGGTGGCACATATTAGGTAATTAAGAGTATAACTAAAATGTACATACTGTGTGGCACAAATTTTCCTGATTCATATTGCTCTTTACCTTCACATTTTGTGTCCCTACCAGCTCAATTATCCACATAAACAAATCATCTTTACCAACTTTTACTGAATATTTTTCAATACAATAAAATTCATTTTTATTGAAGAATTAAATTTCTTTCTTTTTTTTTTTTTGTGAAGATGATTGGCCCGGAGCTAACCTCTGTTGCCAATCCTCCTCTTTTTGCTGAGGAAGATTAGCCTTGGGCTACCATCCATGCCCATCTTCCTCTACTTTATATGTGGGATGCGGGCTTGATAAGCAGTGCATAGGTCCGCGCCCAGAATCCAAACCCGCAAACCCCGGCCGCTGAAGCAGCGCGCATGACCTTAACCACTACACCACCAGGCCAGCCCCAAAGAAGAACCAAATTTCTTAATAGCATTACGCAAGTTGAGCATATGATAAAATTATATGTTAATGCAACAGCAAATCCCACAAAAAATATATCCAAATCTTTCCAGCTCATTCATTCATTCAATAAATATCTGAGAGCTTATTTTATGCTGTAAAATGTGCTGGGTTTCACAATAAAGAAAAAGATACCATATCTGAAACTCAACAAATCTAGAGTCTAGTGGAGAATACAAACAGGTGCTAAGTGTTAAAAGAAAGAAAAAACTGAGTGCTTCAGAAATAGATCCCTAATCCTAGTGATTTACGACTCAAGAAGCCTTTGCCAAGTGCCTTGAACTAAGACAGTATGGGTATATCTGGAGAGAGAGAGGCAGATTTAAAACTTTATTTGGAAATAAAGATCCAAGTAAAGTATGAATCAGACAGGAAAGCAATTAACACTTATCAAAGACCTATGATATTTTCAGGCATAGAAGTGAACACTTATAGATGTGTGTGATGGTTAATTTTATGTGTCAACTTGGCTAGGCTATGGTGCCCGACCGTTTGCTCAAACACCAGTCTAAACGTTGCTATGAAGGTTATTTTTCAGATGTGAGTAACATTTAAATCAGTAGGCTGAGTAAAGCAGATTACCCTCCATAATGTGGGTTGGTCTCATCCAGTTAGTGGAAGGCCTTAAGAGAAAAGACTGAGGTCCTCCAAAGAGGAAGGAATTTTGCCTCCAGACTGGCTTTGGACTCAAGACTGCAACATCAACTCCTGCTAGAATTTCCAGGCTGGCAGCCCGCCCTGAAAATTTTAGACCCACCAGCCCTCACAATGTCAAGAGCCAATTCCTCAAAATAAATCCATTCTCCTCCCCCCATGTATGTGTATATTTATATACACACACACAAACATCCTAGTAGTTCTGTTTTTAAGGAGAACCCTAACACAGTGTGTAATTTTATTTAATCTTCACAGTAACCCTGTGAGTTAAGTAGCATTTTCATTTTACATGTGAAGAAAAAAACTACAAAAAAAAAAACCAAGAAACTGGATTTAGTCAACACAGTTAATACTGAGACCACACTCTTTCCAAGGCTGCCACTGCTGTCCTATCAGATTGATTTGTTTAGAGGCTCCTATAATTTCATATAATGTTAAGGCTGAATTGAATTTTACAAATAATCTGGTCAAACAGTTTACTGTTTCAGAAGAGGAAACTAAAGACTAGAGAGGGGAAGTGTCTTGCTTGTCAATGTCATGAATAGTTACTAACTGGAGACTAAAGTTCCAACTGTCAGTGTTCTTTTCTCTAATTATACTAGTGAGTGTCCAAAATCCTGACAAACACGCTGAGAAGAATAAACAGTAAATAACCTTAGGATAGAAATTTGATAACACAGAAAAGCTTCAAAGAGAGAACAAAATGACAGAGGAAAACCTAGCAACCTTTAAGAAATATTTTCTACAATATAGATTCATCACTTTTATTTTAAACCTTTTTTTATTGCGAAATATAATGCACATACCGAAAAGTTACATCAGAAATGCTAGTCACTCAAGCAAATGCATAAAACATGACCAGAGACCAGAAACCCCTGTCCTCTAACTTTCCTCCCCCTCGTTAAAGGAAATCATTATTTTGACTTGTATGGTGTTGTTTTTTTCTTTTTTTGCCTTTCTTTATATTTATACCACGTATGTATGCATCTCCTGACAATTTAGTTTTGCCCTTTTTTTTGAACTTTGTAAATTGAATCAGACAATATAAATATAGAATGCATCTATATAAATATAAATGCTTCTATGCCTTGCTTACTTTACTCAACATTTTAAAAAGATATTTCCATGTGGGTGGCATGTGACTATAGTTCATTCATTTTCAATGCCATATAAAATTGTATGTATGAATATAGCACAATTTTATTTCTCTATTCAAGTACTAAACTGCCAAATTGTCTTGCAAAGTGGCTGCAGCATTTTACTTTCCCATCAGCAATGTATGAGTGTTCCCACTTCTAAATATTTTTACCAACACTTGTTATTGTCTGCCTTTATAATTACAGACATCATAGTGAGTGTGAAGTCATAGTTCATTGTGGTTTTGATTTGTATTTCCCTAATGGTTAATGATGCTGAGCATCTTTTCATGTGGTTATGGGCACAATACGTCTTCTTTGCAGAACCGTCTATTCATCTTTTGCCCATTTTTTTAATGAGGTCGTCTTTTTATTATTGAGTTGTAAGATATCTTTGTATTTTCTGGATACAAGTCCGTTGTCAAATACATGATTTGCAAACATTTTCTTCCATCTTGTGAATTGTCTTTTCATCTTCTTCAGGTATCTTTTGAAGTACATTTTAATGAATTCCAATTATCAATTTTTTCATTCATGGACTGTGCTTTTGGTGTCACATCTAAGAACGCTTTACTTAATACTCAGTCACAAAGATTTTCCTTACTTTTTTCTACAAGTTTTATGGTTTAACTCTTACATTTGAGTCTATGATGCACTCTGAGTTAATTTTTTAGTATGATGACACGTAGGGTTCCAAATTCATTCTTTTTCTTGTGTATATCCAGTTGTCCCAACACTATCGGTTAAAAATACTCTTCCGTCTCCATTGAATTATCATGGCACCCTTGCTGAAAATCAATTGACCACGTAAGGGTTTATTTCTGGTCACTCAATTCTATTCCATTGAGCTGGCATATCCTTATGCCAGTACCACATTGTCTTGATCACTATAGCTTGGTAGTAAGTTTTAAGATTTGGAAGTGTGAGTCCTCCAATTCTTTCTTCTTTTTTATTAAAGATTGTTTTAGCTATTCTGGGTCCGTTGAATTTCATTTATGAATTTTAGGATCAGTTTGTCAATTTCTGCAAAGAAGCCAGCTCAGATTTTGATAAGGACTGAACTGACTCTAGAACAATTTGGGGAGTATTGCCATCTTAACAATATTTTAAGTCTTCTAATCCATGAACATGGGATATTTTTCCATTTATTTAGGTCTTTAATTTCTTCCAACAATGTTTTATAATTTTCAGTGTACAGGTCTTGCACTATTTTGTTAAATTTATTCCAAAGTATTTTATTCTTTTTGATGCTAACTGTAAATGGAATTATTTTCTTAATTTCAGTTTTGCATTGTTCTTTACTAGTATATAGAAATAGAATTGATTTTTGCACACAGATCTTGTATCCTGCCACACTGAGAACTTGTTTATTGGTTGTAATAGGTTTTAATGAATTTCTTAGGATTTTATAAATACATGATCATGTCATCTGCAAATATAGTTTTACTTCTTCCTTTTTACCTAACTGCCCCGGCTAGAACCTCCAATTCAATATTGAGTAGAAGTGGCAAATATTTTATAATTATTACAATAATTTTATAATTTTATTTTATAATTTCTAGTTTTTTATTT